AAAACGGGGGAAGAGGAGAAGCAGGGAATTGCAGAGAAATCTTCGAAAGAGACAGATCGAGAGGCTCAAGCTGTTCAGATGCAGCAAGAATTGGAGCGGGCAAGACTGGAGTTTGAAGAAGAACTTCGAAAACAAAAAGAAGTGTACGAGGCACAGATCAAGAAAATGGATGAGGACGTCCGAATACGAGAGGCTTCTCGAACGCCAGCTGGCTTTCTGCCCCTGCAAGCCTCTGAAATAGCCATTGCACGGAACGTCGTGGAGAAATGGCAACAAAGGAACTATATCTTGATAGCGGAGGCAATATTGCAGAATGCCGGTCTTCTCAAGGAAGCGCAGGTCATGAGCAAGCTGCTCGGTCACGATACCAACTTCCAGTTTGTGATTTTGGACAATGGACAAGAACGAGGCTCGTCGTACGATCTCATCCTCCAAGATATCTCCGGAGATGACGATGATGCTCTCGCGGATGCGCGCAAGCCATGTCTTGCCGTGAGGGTCATTGACAACCAGCTCAGCTGTATTCACCTTTGGTCGCTGGAGAAACTCCGATTACGAGTGGCCAAGATGCGGCAAATGCGCCAATACAAGAATCAGCCAGAATATTTGCAGCATTTCCGGATGGACAACCCATTTCGTGACTCTGACCAGCCTTTGTTTTCGCTAATTGGGGACGGGAGTATTCCTCTGACTGCGGTCTTTGAAACACGGGTCCAAGATTTTGTGGTAGAGATATCCTCGCCATCTACTAGACAAATTGTTGGCAAGGTCAGGATGTCATTGGAACCCTCGTTAGCAGAGTCCCCGCCTTCCACCATCAAATTCAACATTGTCATGCGTGACTTTGTGGGATTCGCTGAACACGAGGGCACGCAAGTTCATGCCCAGATGACAGTCCTGGGAACTGAGGACGAGAGCGTGGCCACCACCCAGCCCGTCCATGGTTTCGGCGACGGTCCTGTACGTTTTGAGAGCATTCACAACCTGAGCATCCGTCGGTCAGGGGAGAAATCTGCGATCCTGAAGATCGCCATTTTTGCCCAAGTTAGCTCGACCCATCTCGATAAGCTGATCAGCTGGGACGAGCTTCGTGAAATGAATGAACAACCTCCCGATCATCAACCTGCTCATCGCCTGCCAGAGTCTGAATACAGTGTTGAAGAACGGCATGACGTTTTTGCAAAAGTCCAGATCCTAGAACTAGCAGAAAATGGCCAGTATATGCCAGTCGAAGTCCTACAAAACAACGCAAACGATAGCGGCGCGTTCCAGCTGCATCAGGGACTCCAACGTCGAATATCCGTCAATCTGACGCACGTTCTGACAGAAGGTCTGCCTTGGGACGACTTGAAGTCCCTGCGAGTCGGGGAAGTTCATCAACTAGATTCGTCCGGGCGAGTCGTCGATATTGCTTCTGTCACACCGGATATCCTTCTCAAACAAATCCAAGAACCCATGATCAAAGACAATGCCGATGGCACCTCGAACATCACCATCGTGGGACAATGGGACAGTTCGCTCCACAAAACTCTTCTGCTCGACCGTGCCACCAACGAAAACTGCAGAATCCAGATCTCACTGCGCTGGGATGTCATCTCCAACCGTCTGGGGCACGATCAGCCAATGACATTCTCCATCGACCAACAACTACAAATCTTGCCGCGATCTTACGTCCGCCCGCAGTCTCTGTTCAAATCTTTCTGGAACCAAACACGGGTCACGCACGCTACAGATGGACTATTCTTAATTGTTGTACGACCAGTCAGTGCAAAGAGAGCAGCCGATCTCTGGCGTCTGGATACTTCAAAGAACTACATTAACGGCGAAGAACTTCTCGGTAATTGGCAACCAAGAGGTATTTCGTTAGTCAAAGACTACCTGATCGCCCGAAGGAAAAGGCGTCAATTGGAGGACATTGAATCCGCGAAAGCCTCGTTGGGATTGCGTAAATTGAGTGTAACCACACATAAAGCCAGGTCTCGTGCAGCATCACCTTCTACGCCGGATACCAGGGAGGAGGAACTTCTGCGTAAGTATCTCGCGATCTGGATGAAGCCGAGTGCGGAGATGAAGAATCCGATCTTCGATGATGCCGACGAGGGCATGCGCCCCCAAGCGTCTCCTGCGCCGTTGACCGAGACCTCGCGATTGCCGTCGACGCGGTATCGAGCCACCGTCTCCCACGTGCCCAAGAACACAGTGTCCCTCAAATCAGGTTATCTTCTCATGCCCTCGGAAACCTACGATCCCCCGGGCTCCGGCAATCATACCAACACCATGCAATGGAAACGACGCTTTGTTGATCTACGCCCTCCTTATCTTCTCATTCAATCCGTCCCTGACGGCGAAGGAGTCAACGCGGTAAACCTCACTCATGCACGAATCGACCACGATCCGGACTTCAAGCGCTTACTTGGCAGTGGATCATCCATTGTGCATGACGGCACCGACTTCTCGTCGGGAGAGCGGTGGGGTCATAGAAGGGCAGGCAGCAATGCGGAACTCCATGGTCTAGCGCACGTGTTTGCTGTCTATGGCGAGCAGAACACCTTCCTGTTTGCAGCAAGAAGCGAGAGTCAGAAAGTTGAATGGATCCTAAAGATCGACCAGAGTTACTTCGCGGATGATGAGGAGCGAGATCAAGTTGAGGTCTAAGATGCAAAATATTCGGCGGTACCGGGGAGGTGGACAACGCGGAGGGCTTAAGGGATGCGAAGTAGATGCAAATCGAAAATCTGAACAGATGGGTGGGGAGGTTATCTCCATATGAATGTGATTTCATGCCAATTGAGCACGGAACAATGACTTGGACGTGGACGGAGCAGCGCGATTGTAGATCTGAATTGAGATACCCCTCGGTTATATTCAATATCCTTTTTCCAATGCATAACTCGTCGTCACTTGTAGTGGAGGTACCTGACTCGTGGCGATCTGGTTTACAGTAGCACCGGGTTTTGAGATTGATTGCATAGGTGGTGGCCACTGGCAAATGCCTGTACACCCACCAGCCAACACACACTCACCGAGAACCCCTTGACGCTCTGAAGCCCAACCTAGGTTAGTTAGAATGACCAAGCGGCCACTCTTGCATATTCGGCAGTCAGTGTAATTGCATGGAAACCGACGGCTGAGCTTGAAACAGAAAGGCGTCAGCGCGCCGACCAACGAGAACACGGCCATTGTCGACCAGATAATGGCGACGATTGGGCAGTCAGTAGAAGTCTTTTTCCGAAGATGATACACGGCTCGAACTAACAAACAGAGGGGCCAGTGGACGCAATTGCCCACGGAAGCCAGCATCGGACAGTTCCAACGCTCCTCAACTAAGTGCCGAACAAAGCCATGTCGAGGAGAAATCCAGGCAATGGTGCCATACGAAGCATTTATAGAACCCCATAGTTCATAACCCCATTGTGCTGCGTCAAGCTAGTCGTGCATGATCGCTCTTTTCCGGCACAGGCAATGCTGTGAACTGAGGAGGCTGACTTAGGTGTTCCAAGAGCGTTGAGTAGGGCGTTGCGATCCGATTGCCCAATGCTTGCCGTGCAAAAAGTCCGGTCTCCAGAGAGGCCCCGAAATATGCGAAGACTAACTCACTATCTGGTTAAGACAGTCTTCCCTGATATCCTTCTGACGTAAAGCCAAATGGATGCCGAGAACAGTCAATGTCAACGAGTCGGCCTCACAGCTTGGCGGCAGCCATTAAGAAATGAATGAGAAGGGGGAACCCATCGATGATCGTCAATCATGGTGTGCAGTCGAGCCTTATAGCTGATATGTAAGAGAGGACCAGAATCGGGTACCATGATCTACTCGATACCAAGTCTTGGTGCTCACCTTTCCCCAAAATCTCGAGTAGAATTGAGCAGGTGCACTTGGAATACTCGAAACAAACCGAGGGCCTTCCATATGCGTCTGCCGCTTCATGGCTCGGAGGGAACAATACCTCGAGGGACGTTGAAACTTGCATCTGGATACCAAGGCAGCGAAGTCTTGGCTGGTAGCGGAGGCCACGGACGGCATGGTTAGTCCCTCCGTCCTCTTCTGTCTAGATCCGTCTGCATCATGGTGCCACAAAGACCGATCTGGGATAGAACTAAGTTGTGCTCGGTGGTCCTGTATATATATGGTTGATGGGCCCTCGACATCAGTTTGACGTGTGCTATTGACGTTTGCCGCGACGGGATTATGTAAGTTGTTGGTCAGCTGGTCTTGGCAGTTGTCACCTCCCCCGTCTTCCTATTTCATCTTTTCCTCTTTCCTTCGTCGCTTTCTTGTTTTGACGACCATTCTTTTTTGTCATCGACTTGCATTTGGTAATATCATGTTCCAATCTTCGGAACGGCATCCCCGTGGGCGTAGCCCAGACTATTGATATTGCTTGAGCAGGGCCTTGGACTGTGGATATTTTTTGATGTCATGCTGGACATTACCAGCCGCGCCAACAGCAAGCAGTCCCATACCGGGGTCCAACAGGACGGATCGCATCTCCAGAGAGTCGGTGACAACATCGCCTTTGCCAAACCCATCACAATTGGGTTTCACAGCGGCCGGCCTGGAGCGCCTTGATGGCTGTCGAGGGTTGTGTCTGTTCACTTCCGTCTCCTCGGAGCCAATACTAATGTTCGTTTGACTCGGTGCATGCCGCTCTTGCATTCGATCGACAAGGAGCTTTGACAGCGAAGCCACATGTAAGGGAAATCGGGATGCTCGCACACTTCTCTCGCCTTGTACCGAGCCCATCAGGCTGAACAGGTTCCACCTTTGGAGGCAAGTCCTACAGCAAGGTTTGCGCCACTGTATTCCTCGGACTGCCCCCCAAGGTCATTTATTGACATCATCCCTCTCTCTTCTCTCCTGTGCTCCCTACAAATCCAAACTCTTCCCTTTCCATTGGAAGGACGCACACAATACTTTCTTCCAAACCACTTCTCAAACCCCTTTTCATCGCTTCCAGCATGCCACGCCAGTTCCCCCCCTTCTCAGCCCGACGACACAAAATGTCCACAACCGCAAATACAGGCTCGCCTTCCAACAGCCAAAACCACCACCACCACCACCATCTCCCTCGCAACAATGACCCCGATCGAGACTTTCTCTCACGTCGGGGCCGCGCCAAAAACCATGTCATCGCCATGACTGGTGAATTCGTGGGCACTACCCTTTTCCTCTGGTTCGCCTTTGCTGGCGCCCAAACCGCAGCCATCACAAGCGGAGGTGTAGCAAATACGCCGACTCAAGTTACCTTGACGAGCTTGGCCTTTGGCTTTTCGCTTCTCGTCACCGTGTGGGTTTTCTATAGGATCTCCGGAGGATTATTTAATCCAGCTGTATGTCTCTTTGCATCGCTGTAAAAATTTCATTGGCGCACTTTGGGAGACTGACCAAGGAACCAAAATCACATCAGGTAACCCTCGGCCTCGTCATAACCAAGAATCTCCCTTGGGTTCGCGGCCTCCTTCTATTCCCTGCTCAAATCCTCGGCGGCATCATCGCCGCCGCCCTCGTAAGATGCATGTTCCCCGGTCCCTTGGTCGCGGGCACAGTGCTTAGCAACAACACTACGCCAGCCCAGGGCGTCTTTATCGAAATGTTCCTCACCTCGCTCTTGGTGTTTACCATCCTCATGCTCGCCGCGGAGAAACACTATGCCACATTCATGGCTCCCGTGGGAATCGGCCTAGCGCTGTTCGTGGGCATGATGGCAGGTCTTCCGTACACGGGTTCCTCCATGAACCCGGCGCGAAGTTTCGGCCCTGCTGTCGCAGCCCCCTATTTCCCGGGGTATCATTATATTTACTGGTTTGGACCGATCATGGGCGCCCTGCTGGCCGCCGGGTACTACCACTTTGTCAAATGTTTCCGGTATGAAGAGGCGAATCCCGGCCAGGACGCTGTTAGTCCCGAGGAGAAGAGCGGAGATGAGGAGATGGGGCCCTCAACGATGGTCTGACCACCAGGGTCAAATAGCACAGGACAAGCAGGCACAGGAAAACGAAACACGAAGACTGAACTGAACTGTACTCCGTGGAAAGCGGAAAGGATTTGATCTCTGCTATACTGGTGCAGTTTGGATCCCAGCAATGAAAAAGTGGACATTACTGGTGTATGACATGTACGGAGTAATATCTGTTTGGACGAGGGAATCAACAACCTAAGAGGGAACAAGCGACAGCGACCAATGAACGGAAGAAAATGCCATAAATCCTTTGATTTGGCTGCGGCGGGTCTGAATCCCCACAGACCTGAGAGGATGAATGAAGGGATGATCTACAGCTTCTGCAACGGGCACATGCTTGAAGTTGGAAACTGCAGTTTGATTTTTTGGACATGTTGGATGGATGTTGAACATATCTTCTGCGGCGGATGCCATACGGCAATTCGACATAGGCCGTAGGGACTTTGCGCAGTTTCTTGCCGCGTCGATTGAAAACTTTTTGTCTTCCCGTCACCGTATTGGAAAAAGCAAGAGCAGGAACAAAAGCAGAATGCCACTCTCCCGTGTTGGCCGAGGAAGTCGAAGCTTGCTCTTCCAAGGCCCTTTGGCATTGCAGTGTCGAGCAAGCCGCAATGCCTAGGATCCGATCTCCCAAAGTGTAGGACTCTCGCCGCTATCCATACCGCTGGATGGTCGACGGCGTCACAAGCCATGATTTCGCCTGATTTCGCCTGATTTCCGTTTTCCATCTCGTTTCGGTTATTGCCTGGACTCGGAGAGGTCCCGGCCCTCGCATTGATGCCACTCTGGCTTCCAACCAATTTCCACGCTATTCTTCCTTCGAATACGGACCCAGCAATCCGAAAGGCGTGCAGTCCATTGAATACCATGGCCGGCTTTTCTTTCCCACTCCGACATATCGAATTCCACACCCTCCGCCGCCCGCCATGTAAATGGATCTCTTCAGAAAGCCCTACCGCCTCCACAGAGAATGACGTGAAATGTCTTCAAAAGATGTCCTCCCTGTTCCTGTCCTAACTCCAAATCCAGTCACTTGTATCATCATCAAGTCTTTTGTCGTAAATCATAATTTCATAGTACCAACAGTGCGCCCGCATCTTCAACAGACTTATTCAGAGCCTCCAGCCTCCTTTCTATCTTCGTGCCAAATTTTCTGTACACCATATTTGACTGGTCGGTCATAACTTTTTCACAGGCCGTCGCTTTATGCCACGGTGATCTTTTACGTCATTTAACGCCGTAACCATTCGAACTTTTTTCTAGGATCAATCCCGGTCTGTTGTGGTTCAACCTGTACACTTCGGTCGTATAACTCACTTCGTGGGTCTGCAGAATCCTGTTGTACGCAGTTAGAACAAGTCGCAACCCATTAAATGAGGCAAGCATCTCACCTCTGACTCCTCCAGGATCTTGGTTTCTAAGATCAACTTGGTTATCTCGTCAGTCCGAACGGACCTCGGCGGGAAGCTGTAGGGATTTTCGAGGCTTCGTTGGATGCCCACGATGACGTCTCCCATGATCTCAAATTTCCTCCAGTTTATGTTCGTGCCTATGAAGGTCTTGTTTGCTGAAGCAGCCATTGTAAGATCTTGCCGGACAAGTGGGAGAAATGGGATCCGTTCCCCGGGGGAATTGTCCCAGGCCATTCGATATGCTGCGTGGGATCTTGATATTCCCATGAGAATTGTCAGTCTCAGAAATTGCTTCTGAACTTCTGGCGGTACCAAATCTCGGGTTGCAGCTAGTCGAGCGATCTCATGGCCAGTGATGCCCGCCACGATAGCACCAAGGGAGTTGTAATTATTCATTTGCCTCACTTTCCATGCCAACGCCATAAATTTCTCCAAGGCTCTTGCGCGGTGTTTTGGCTTGTCTCGGAGGAGGATCATGCCGGAAACAAATAATGCCAAGTGGTTGAAGTTTTTCACCATCGCGCCGATGTTATCGGCTGAGCAGCATTTTCTTTTCTGTGACGTTGAAAGAGAGACATGTCGAACAAAGTCCCGAGGTCTGATCGCCGAGTACACTGTCCAATCGATCCGTGTGATTTCCCTGGCAAGATCATCGAGGGTGCTTTCCATAAATAGATGCCATTGAAACTTGCTGAGACGGAAACGGGGTATTGGCTTGAACCTCTCAGCTTCCAATTTTGCGTTTTCCAATTGAAGAAAGTTTGCATATGATTGACTGGATGGATTGCTTGATCTGATCATGCTGGAGGATGCTGAAGGCACATTGGATCCGCGTGCAGACGAATTCGTCCCGTCCAGATCGTCTTCACTGCAGTCATCTTCCCGTTGTCGCCTGCGACTTGATTTCGTGACATTTTCTGTGCTTGGCGACGGAACCAGAGTCGACGACATGCCCGTTTTGTGGTGGCTGCTTGCACCACTCTTTTTGCTCGACGGAGAGGGAGAATCATCGAAGGCCCAATCTAAATCTTCATCAGGAATGATGGTGTCCAAGTTGTTGCTGATTTCTCTGGCAGCAGGGGCGAACACCTTGCTCTTTTCAATGCTTTGCACAAAAGGAATAGCAATATCACGAGCAGGACCCGGAGAAAAGTCTCCGGGATATGTGGCAGTCCATTGAGCCAGTACCTGTAGGTAGCGAAGCATTTCTGCGACTTTGGTGAAATGAACCATCTTACTCTGTTCCACCTTCATGAATTGGTCGATGATGGCGGAAAGCAACTTTTGTGGAGTTGCAAAGGCACGGTACAGACACAAAAAGGAGGGGACGAATTTGGAATCCGTCTTACTCGTAGGCAACAAGAGGAGCTTGTCCACCAGTTCTTGGAACGGGATCCCGCGCTCTATATTGGAATTTTCATCAATTTTTAGACTGCCCAAAGGAGGGCCCAAGGCTTCCACTTCTGTTCGGGGCGAGAGGTCATGTGAATCTTCGTCCATGTTTAGGAAGGTTTGATAAGCCCGACTGTCAACGGTGGATGTCGACTCAGGACGAAGCATTGATTTTACAAAATAAGAATCGGGTGTTTCGGGTACTGCTGTTGTCGAAGTCTCAAGAGGAGACATCAATTTGCTGGTATATTCACCAGAAGATATTGGTGTATGGGGTTCTGCTGGCCGGCGCCGAGATTGAGGAACAGCCGTGGTATCCACTCTGAGTTTGGTCTTGCGACCGGCCGGGGCTACATCCTCCGCTTCCGAAGACTGGCTATATTCGTTCTCGGATTCGATAAGCGCTTGTCGCACAGAAAGATTCAGCAAGAACTCCTTGGATTTGGACACTTGTAATCGACTATTGGATCGGCTTCGGCTTCTTGCTGTCTTTGGGGATAGATCCCTTGAGGCGACGCGCTGACTGCCCGAAGATTCTGTAGAGGTGCACGACGACTTGCTCGCTCGAATAGACGCTGTATTCGCTGTCAGCGATAAGGTCACAATTCGTAGAGAGACGCGGGCTTGGGCATGAGGGTCGGGCCATGAGGGCATGGTTGTGGAGCATCAGAATGTGGGAAAGCTGGATGAGGGATGGGAGAAGCGAGAGTGGCAATTTGGGGGGGGTCGAGATTCAGAGGAGACGAAACGTTTTCGAATCCGTTGTGCAAGACAAGTTCAATGTTGATCAGGACTTACCTCGTGGAGAGGCAATGACTCGATGGATCATTGCAAGAAAACACTGCTTGGTATTCTCGGGAGATCTTAGGGAAATTTCGGCAATGGCAACCTTGGCAAGGTTGCGACGAACAGTCTCGTGGAATCGTGCACTGATCTGACGAGATTCGTCCCTAACGTCGCATTTGGCGGCAACAAGCATACAAGGCACGCCAGTATTGGTCATGGAAGCTTTAGAGACGTTGTTAGCGGGAGACTGATCTTGATTTGGAAGGACAAGGCTGCTGAGGACAGATGGGGGGAAGGTCGTTATGCTCTCTCGTGGATAGTACTTACTCAATGCAGCCGGTACGTCGGCGACGCTTTCCTTATCAGAGACGTCGTACAGACAAAACACACCATCGACTTCGGGCAAAGGAGCCCCATTCAAGTATGGTGGCCATTCGATTCTTCGCTCGCTACTGAAATCAACATCCTCAAAGAGCAATTCGAAGAGCTGGATCCGATAGCACCTGTCCTTGATGAGGACTTCAGTCGAGGCACGAGACCGCTCTTTCCCGATAGCGTTGCGAATAAAGGTGGATTTGCCCGAGTTGCGTGAGCCCAAGACCAGCAAGTTAATGGACGAGCTCGATTCAGAGTCACTTGGCTACAGACAAACCGAGGTCAATATAGCTGCCGAGGATTAGAACTAAGAAATGGGCCAGACCCAGACGTACCTTGGTCGGTAGCTTCGCCTCGAGGGAATAGCCAGAAAGTTGATGGCGGTCTGAGCGTCGGGCGTTTGTGGCACGGTCTGGAGAAGTCAAAGAATCACCGCGAGCATGGGGTTTTGAGCTTCGGTGGCTGGCATCTGAGGTTCTGGCAGCGGCTGATGGACGCCTTTGATGTTGGTCTTTCCGTCGATCAACCGTGGGGGCCGAGTTGTGTCGTTCCCTGGCTCGAGACGGTGGCTCAATGCTCTTCGCATCGAGGGATCGATACCTCGTGGAACGGGAATCCATGGATTGGGGGGCTGGAGGGGTCAGGTGGCAATCATTGCATGGCTACTGGCACCACTGGTAAGGGATGATGGATAGGCTCAGGCTCAGGTTTGGTCCTGCGAGAATCCAGTCGTTGCAAACGGATGACGAGCAGAAAGCTGGAAACTGGTGGAGGTCATGGATTTCTGGGACATCAAGACACCAAGTCAATGGGTCTCTGGGACTTCGAGATGGGCTAGCGGGGAGTCGGGAGGAGATGAATGTGGTTAGCGGGTCAGCAGAGCTCCGTGTCGAGGAGAGAGATACGTGAAGGAGGACTAGACGAATCGAGCAGGTGGGAGGTGGGAAGTGGTGGTGATTGTGCGTCTGTCGGTTTCAGGTGATCGTAGTGAGCGTGGCTCCTCCACCAGGCTCGCGGAAATGAACGAGC